AATGCTGGGATTTTGAAGTTTGACATTGTAAGAAGCAGGCACTGATTCAAAAGCTAGCTCTGATGAAATGAAGACTTCTTAATTTGGCTATCTTGTGATTGAAGTAGAATTTTAAAATTTTGAAATCTGATCTTTTTCTACATAAAAGAAAACCAGAAACTTAGGGATTTTCTAGCTATTAAAGAGATTAGGATGAAATTGAGGAGAAAGCAAATGGCATCATGCATGTAAGTACAGTGAACAGCAGCGTAGGAAGAAGGGGGCTGAAATGCTCTACAATATATCTTTTTAGTAAAGGATAAAAACCAAACTGTTCTCTTTCAGCTAGTATTAAGACATACCATTTTGGTTTTGTTTGCTGGCCTTTAAAAAAAAAAATGAATCCATTAAATACCCTCTGGACACATTGGAAAATATGCTGGTGTATAATTCATTAGCTGAGTCCCATGTTAGGGCTGTTGTTATTAGTCAAATGATTGCTTGCCTCTGGCACAATATTGAAAAAATAAATGGACTTTACATTTTACCCTGTTGTGGTTTTATGGATTGAGATATTCTCAGGCAAAAAGGGGAAAATACTGGGCTCAAAAGATTTCTAATGAGAATTTCCTACTTTCAGTTTGAGGCTTCATGAAGAAAAAAGAAGAAATCCCTTCTGAACTCTTGGTCTATTATCAGTTTGATGGTGTTTTGGGGATTTTTAAATTATATATTTAAACTTGTGCCTTAATAATTATTGGGCAAAATGTAACAAAGGCAATCTCAGTGTGAAAGATCAGGAGCTGAAGTGTTGCTTTTTGGTTTTGTTCCTTTTTCTTCTTAAGTAATCTTTCAGGTCACCCCTGTTTTAAACGGACCATCCCTATTCATGGCATGGGAAGAGGGGTAATTATTTTTCACTACTAAATATTAATTATTTTTCAGTAGTAATCAGTTCCTAACTAACAAATCAGTTCCCCTTGCCTTTCTATTAAAATTAAGACTGTTGTATTTTTCATTTGAGACACAGAGAAATCTTGTCTCTTTTTATATAGAAATTTAACTGTCATTGGAATTCTACTGCTGTGCAGCATGTAAACTTTTATAACTGCTTCTGAAAAAGGGAGAAAATGGCTGATAAGTGTGTAAGATTCAGCTTCTTATACCTTCAAGAAGAACAACTACTTGTTGTTGAACAGAAAGCTGCTGGTAACCTCTGTAAGTAAATGAGAGAATGGATATAAATAAAATGGCAGCCTACAATTTAATTTACTAAGTCTTTAGGTGAAAATCTAGACGTTTCTGGTTTTGTGGTAAAACCATCAAGTCCTAAATACCGTCACTTCCAACCATGAGAACAGTGTTTCTGTTTTGAAGAGTGAGATGTCATTCAATGGAAGCTGCTACTATTAATGAAAATCCTAATTATTGAGGGACTGTTTCTACCGAAGGCAGTTTTAATTTTATGCTTAATGTTGCAAAATGAAAATGTTACTAGTTTTAAAATTATTTTAACTAAATTGTTAGAAAATAAAGTATATTAATCTAAATCATGTATTAATGGAAATAGACCTTTCCCTTATTCTGAGTGACAAGGTTTCCTAAGCACTTTTTCATCTGTTTTAAAACATGGCTGATATACTGAAATCTTCTGGAAGATCAGTATTTATCAGTGAAGTGGTGTAGTGTAGGTAACTTTCAGGGTTAATTCTCTGGCACAGATCAATACAAGAATGCAGAAATAGTGTGATTACAGAGGCCGAAAAGCTGGCCCAGTGCTTTGAATAACTAATTCTTTGCTTGACACTGAAAATCTTTCTTGTTGCACATTACAAAGAGTGATTTTTGTTGTTTTTTAATTTCTAAGGCCATAGGATTATATAAAGAATTTAATAAATTTTCCCATACTTGAAACGCTGTTCTACATCCACTTTCCAATGATGCATATGCAGTGTAACAACAACCGTATTAAAATAGAAAAAAAAAAGCCTTCCTTATTTATGCTTTATTTTATTTTAGAAGATGGCAGAGAACACAAAGAAGAAATTGGTACTTGCATTTCTACTTTCAAAATGCTTCAAAGAAGCATAAACAAAGGCTTTGGAATACAGTTTTCTTTATTTTAATTGTAAATCATATTCACAAAGTAGTCTCTTTTTTTCCCCTTAGTCTCGTAATTACTTTGTTTACTATGGCAAAGTAAATATTTCCATACTTTTATCTATTCCTTGCCTTTTTGTGTTTTCTGGGACAGAAGTAGAAGAACGGCCAGTCAATAAGGAGAAATCATCATATTGAAAAGAACAACATGATTTAATTGTTGTCAATTCATGGGCATTAAAATTCAGATACATTGTGAAATACAAGATAATGACAGAGAACATGAATTGATTCTAATGATAGAATATTGTTTCATGAACAGAAAATAGCACAGACTTTTATCCAGTTTTTAAGCTGCTTTTTAAAGTTTTTATCCAAGCACCTAGCTAGCTTAGTTGAAAATAATAAAACATCCTGACATTTGACATTATAAAAGGGAATGGAGTCAGTAGCTGTAAAAATAAATATAATGCGTGTCTTTTTGTCTATTTTTGCCCAGTTCTCACTTAATCATACACTTTTTATAGTTTTTATACCTGTTCACATTAGAACTAATTATTTTTTTTTCATACAAACATATTTTCACCAAACTATCCAATTAAATGTATCTGTTACAGCAATACATAATGTTGTATATCAATACACAGATCTAAATCTAGCCTGATCCCAAATTAGACTATTGGGCTCTTCACAAGTAACACGACGAATGCAAATTCACATACTGTGACTCCATTACCTGGACGTATGATTCCTAGCAAGCAGTATCTTCAACGCGAACTTACAGGCGTAACTGAACGATAAATTTGGCCGTCCGTGATCGCGTGCCAGCTCGGCGTCTCTCTGGAGACCTGACTCCTTGTTGCCCTGTGGCCTCTCTGTGCTGCCAAGCTGGGAGCTGCGGGGTGTTCCCCGGAGCTGAGCGATCACCTGGGTGGTGCAGAGCCTGCTCAGCCACCGGCCCGGGGTATGGGAGATGCACAAAGCAGGGGTGGGTTGGGGGGATGCTACGCCCGGGCTGTCACAGCGGCAGCCCGAGATACAGACACAGAAGGCATAAGCTAGCGCAAGCCTGAGATTGCTGTGATTTAGGACCTGACCAGCCATCTCCAGAGCGTTGCAAAGTTGGTGAAAGGCTGAATTCGCCTTTCCCGCAGTGCCTTTGGTCTAGCAGTGAGGGCACTTTAGCCAGCCCCACGAGTGGGTTGGATGTGTACATTTTTTATGCAGGCAAAATATAATCCCCAGTCCTGCAAAAAAAGATGTGTCTGGGTGAAACCCTGTGAAGGGTTTACCTGGAGAGGTAAAACAAAAAACCAAAATTTCAGGAGGGTCTCTTCACCTCTGTGCAATAAGAAAACCATGCAGCCTCCTCCAGATCTAGCAGATCTTTGGGGAGGATAGAGCCAGCTGCATAAAAGGCTTCCCTCTTTACAGCATCTCTGGATCTAGCTGGGGTAACAACTGGGATATTCCCTAAAGCTTTTCCCATCCCATAACCTCCCTGTCCAAGCTTCAGAAAAGACTATGAAGTAGTCTGCATCATTCTTCCATGTTTCTGAAGGTTGGATGGGGGGAATAACATGTATTCCTCTTGGTCATGGTCCAGTCTTGCATACCCCATTCTTTATCCTGTATGGATATTTTCTATTTCTCCTTCCATTTCCACTTTTTCTCCAAGGTGTTCAGAAAAGGTTCTGAATGGCCTGAGAAAATGTGTGAAATGGACATTGATTTAAACAATGGCTGTTCAGAAAAGATTACATGGCTTTAGGGGCTTGACCTGTAATAAGTCTCTACTTATAGCTAAGTGATAGAGTTTCAAGAAAATCCAATTCCTAGTGGATCAAAAAAAAACCAAGAGGTTTTGGCACCAAGATTGCTTCATCTGTATAGTATGAGCAAATATCCACAGTGGATGTAAATATCCTCAGGAGGATGGAAATCTGCCTCTGAGCTTGATGGGAATGAACTCCAATAAAATACCTCTTACACTATGGCATCTTTCCACTACAATCCCACCATGCATTGTTCCTGGTTTGTTCACAGAGTTTTAAAACAGGACCACAACCACTCTGGGAAAGAGATTTATTTACTCATGTCCATGGGAAAATAACTACACCAAATAGTTCATTAAAGCATACCAGTTGTGTCCTACTTGAATACCACTACATCTCATTTAGATATGGAAACAATGGGAAGCTATAAAACTTTGCATAATACAAATGTTGGTCCTCTGAAATCTTCATAGTCAGCAAGCATAGAGTAGGAAAAAGAGTTCTCCATTTTTAAGTGGTAGAACAAATACTGGATAGAGAACATCAAAACTGCCTAAGAGATTACTCAAGACCAAGATATTTTTAATCAGCGGCCTCTTTGTTTTTTGGATAGCCAGCTTGAGACACCACAAGTGGAGTAAATTTTCAGAGAGCCTTAAGCACCCACTCTCTGAAAAACTGTTTGCATTAAGGTATCTGAAGATGAGCACCAAGAATTGCTGCATCCAAAATATGTTTGCATCAGAAATCCAAATCCCCTCAAATGGGTAGTTAGGGAGGACATAGTGCTTTAGGCAGCTCTGAAAATCCTAGGCACCATGCACAGTGCGTGTTTATCTCTGACACTGGCAGATATAGGTAAACATCTTCCACCTAGACCACTGCAGATTTAGTGAAAAGAACTATTTCAATAGTTTTTAACTCTAAGGAGGATTAACTGAATAATTCAGGGCTAGTGATACTATTTTTTCTTTGATAGTTTAAAAAACAGATGTAATTTTTAAGATACAAATAAGATGTAAGGAAATAAACTGTTTTTTCTCTTCTAAACCTTAAGAGCTGGTTTCAGATTTTATTTAATAACCTTATTCTAAGACTTCATAATTTTATTTTTTTCTAATTTTTATTTCTTGTGATGTGTAAATAGGTAAGAAATATTAAATATTGTAATGTTCTTCCGTTAAGACAATAACATTTCAAAAGCTAATGTAAAATCAAGCTGCTAAAGTTTACAATTCCTCTGTCCAGCAGTTCATTTATACAACTGCCCTGAGTAGATGCTATATGCTGCTTAGCAAATGGCCTTTAAGAGTTTAAAAATAACTCAGTAAAGCTACTCAAAGGTAATACAACACTTCTCAGGCATCTTCAACTGGAGTTAAGAAGAAAACAGAGTTTTCTTATTAGTTAATTATTCACTCCCTCATCAATGATTTATACACAACAAAAACACAATTGAAATGTTCAGGAGAACTAATTGTGCTTGTTCCTATGCATGGGACCATAAGCTTATTTTTCAGAAAGGCAAGATTTTAAATTGTAAAACTAGTCCTATTTTTGAGGACTGTTTTAGCTGCTTTTCTTAAACTCTAAGTTGTTCCCATGTGAAACCAGTGAAAAAAGTTATTTTCTAACCTACATTGTGAGATTTTTTCGCAAAACCTCACTGATCCCCTTTAACAAAAAGATTACCTTATTTCAAAATTCCTGATATAATCAATTTGCAGTGTTTTCAAACTGGTACAAATATGTAAAATCTGTGCTTTTCAAAAGCTTCTGCTTTGAGTAGCCTTACATTCCATAATTGTGCCCTAGCAATTGTCAAGCTCTATTGCATGCCCCATTCATGAGAAGTATATTTTGTTGGGATGATGTAGCTTAAAGAATTTGGCTCTAAAACTTCCTTACCTAGAGCTTCCTTTAAATTATATTAATTTAAAATATCTATGGAATGATACTTTTACAAAAATATTAAAAAAAAAAAAAGAACACAACAAATTAATGGGTTGGGTTTATGAAAATGACTCTTTACAGTGAGTAAAAAAGGGTTTATCACAGTTTTGATAACTTGCATGAGTTCATATCGAAAAAAAATCTTTCACATGTTCTTAATGAATTTAAAACTTTTGTGCTCTAGGTATTTTCAGTTGTATGCTCTGAAACAGTAGACACCATACAGCTTGTGCTTTTTATCAGGGAAGCCTACAAAGCGAACCGCTGCTTCGTTAGGACTGCAGCGTTTCCTTGGCCTGGAGATTGGGTAGCGGACGCTGCCGTCAGCCAACCAGCCGGCGTCACAGCGGTCGTACCCTAGGAGCTTCCAGGCAGCAAATATCTGGCCAACTTTGGCGATCTGAGCTCCATCCTTCAAGCACGCCTGAACGGCTTCATCGTAGGTCAGCTTGGTCGGGTGAATTAGGTAGTAAAAACGACCTAGTAAGAGAGAGAAGGAAAAAGGGTCATTAGAGACATGATTAAGATGATGTGATAACATAAAGGTGGCTTTTGAGGAGAAGGGGAGATGTTCCACTGCAGAATCATATCAAACAGTGGTTGATTTGGGACTATGCAATTTGGACATTGCACGGTTAAAAATATCTTTATGTTTTGTATGGTGAGTTGATAAATAGCAGAAGCTAAAAAACAAAACAAAACAAGCCCAGAGAAAACAGACTATCTGAACAAAACCAAAATAGTGTTATATTTATTTCTGCTAATTTATCATGGGATGGCATCTCCACCCTCACTTGTATTCAGTTGTAACTGAAATGTTACAGTGCATTTCATCCTCAGAGTTAGAAAAACAGGAAGACAAAGATCGGGGAGAGGGATGTTGGAAGACACCTTGGGATTCAGAGAAGGGCCTTGCATCTAACTTTGTGGTGCCAGATGCATTTACCAACATGGTGAAGATGATAACCCAGTGAAACATCTGAGGAACCCTGCAGATTTCAGGCAGAGCAGAACTCATACAGACGTAGCTTACTGTCAGAGAAGGGAAATCAGTTAAGCGTCCAAAGCAGTGCACTTCTACATTATGCTCTCAGCATCAGCTTAAAACCCTTATGAGTTCTGCTCTCAGAAGCACAGCACAGCAAGATCTGGCCTTTGATAGCATTTGGGTGAGGGTGGGTGCAGGTAACACGTGCAGTTTTACTCTCTGACAAGGCGGTGACCTTGTTTCTGATTAAGCACAAACACAATTTTTTTGTTTTGGTTTGGTGTTTTTTTTGTATGAAAGCTGAGATATTGCACGGCTTCTCAGAATCAGGGTTTGAGTCTGTGGTAGATCAAAACCATACTTGTCATTAAGTCTTCATTAGCAGTGTCAAAACCACGCGCAGCAGATCTGCAGCTCTGTTTCTCTTTAGGCATCAAAGGGTATATCCTCACCATAAGACAGCATTGAACTGATAATGCTGCTAAGAAAATGCGCCTCTGTCTCAAGGTAATGAAAACATATGCCAGCAAGTAAAGCTCTGAAAGGAAGTCCCCCCTACTAATCCATAAGCAGCAATAATACTAACATTAATTTCATTTATCAAGGTAATATAAATTCATTGTAAGCCTTTTATTCATTCCACTTTGGGTTATTTATCATCACTGATTGGACAATTAACCAAGTGTGAGGTAGAAATGGATTGCAGAGGAATAGTGTTTAACTGAAGGAATAGTAGTTCCCAAACAAATTCACAACTTTTCAATCTGACTGTCCTGTAAGAGGCAAGTTAGCTGAGAAACAAAGGAATTTATTCATGTGGGCAACTTGTAATTCCAGAGAACACTCTTTAATTCTTAAGTATGTACTCCAAAATATTATCCTAAAAACCCAGCAAACAGACCAACAGAATTCTGCTCAATTTCAGATTACTTTCTTGGTAAAGAAAAAGTGGTGAGGAAGATGAAGAGTTATGTCATCTCCAGATTCCCGCAAAAAACACATAGCTTTTTTTTTTCTTTCTTTTTTTTTTTTTTTTCCCGAAGAAGTGGAGTAATGTCAGGTCAGAATATAGTATAATTGAATCAACTTTGTGTAATGGTTGGAAATTGTATATGATGTCAAGAACATTAAAAAAAAAAAGGCATTTACATTGCAGCTGTGGTGGAGAAGAAACTTACAAATTTTATTGCTGTCAGAGACGGTATCTACAGTATTTCCACAGAAAACTGTTGAGAGTAGATAATCTACCCCTTTGTAAAATGCTTGCGTAACTCCATTTCAGCAAGTTTGAGACCATTTACAAGGTGTTGCTACAGAGAATGTTTATGAAGTGGAAACCTGTTCCTACTACATTATTAAGAGGTTTCCCCAAAGCAAACAGGATTTCAGACTTAGGGGAACAGGGATTTGGATTGATAGTATGCGAACTTCACTTAGCTTATTAGCTGCTCTTCAAACCATATGTCAATGGAATGTAATTTCCTAGGGATTTGCAGTAAGGTCAGGCTTTTGACATATGACATCAATAATAAAAACTCCTATGCTCTGCTCCTCACTTAAATAGGAGAACTTTAAAAGTAAACCCCACAGGGTGCAATGTGTATCCAGAATGCCCGATTAAATAAAATTCTGTTAATAAACAGTACAGATTTGCTGTTTTTCCCCTGCTAATAGGTTAGAAGAGTTCCTAACTGTTAAATCTTAGTACTTACTAATTGATGTGGAAGGACAGGGAGGCATTAACTGTCTCTCTCAATAATATCCGAAAGTTGGGTCACTTCTACAGAGGATGAGTGCTGTTGATTTGACTTCTCACATCAAAATTACAGGGCAGAGGGTTTAAGCAAACCTAATCAAACCCCATCTATAATAGCTATTTTAAGCTTTTGCATTTAAGAGAATAGCTTAAAGAGCAAAACTTGAGCACTTGACCCAAATACCCTACACTCCTGTGACTGTGGGTGTTTGAGGGATGCACCACCCTTGGAGATTTTTCCAAGCTCTAAATTGAGAGATTTATTAGTTAAGCTTTTATATCACAGCTGGGTGTACTAGACAGTGAGACATCATCTTCAGAGGCACAGAAAGGCAGTACGACTCCACTCGCTATTTTCTGCATACAGAGTTAATGCAATGCCTTTGAAAGAGGGTTGGGTTTTTTCGGTGGAGCGCTCAGAGAGGATGCTTCCACATGCAGACAGCCCTTGAGTATCTAAGCACTTGGGCTCAGCCCTAGGACTACTCCCGACAGCTTACTGGTTTGCTAGGACAGCTGGGCCACAGAAATCAGTTGTTTCACTGTGTAAAACTGCTCTAATTTGTGGTTCCGTATGGCCATAAAAGGCATTCTCAGCTGCCAGGAGGTTATATCTGTAGCTTGCACAACCTGTAGATGCTACTGCTTGCCCATCAGACTCAGTTCAGTATATCTTACAGCAACACTAAATGGTTGAACAAGGCCATTGTTCCTCAAAATTGAAGAACGTGTTAAAAATTTGTGTGAAGGGAGATGCGTTCCATTCCTTTAATCATAAGGTCCTGCTAAGTAACTTGATACCCAGTGATCATCTCAGGCATGTGATTTTCAATTGCTACATTAAATATGTGGGAATAATTTTTTAAAATCCTCTTCCGTTCCCCCATTATCAGGAGTGACTCTAATGACTTGGAAGAAACCACTTCTAGGAAAAAGTACATAATATTATTTTAGGTGAGTTTGTTTCTCTTTTTGGAACAATGGCTACACGTTCCCAGCAATGAAATATTCTGAAATGGGCAAATGAGCAGTTGGCATGCATTATTCAGAGATGATTTACTAACCTTTCTCCCATTTAAATGGTGATTAAATTATCACATGCAGTACTGTAACAAACAGGTGGCTCATAGCTGCACTTTTAACATGATTCTTAAAATTTATGCTTTGTATCTTTAACTTTGTTAACATGAGATTTTTCTTTTATTCTGCTAGAGCTCATAATAAATCAGTTATGAACTGTGGTTCTGTGTGCAAAGTATGTAACAAAATGCATATTAACGAGCAGAAAGCATGATCCAAGCTCTATACCTTTTTTTTTTTTTTCTCTTTGAAAATGCTTAATTATAGAGGAGCTGATAGATGTTTACATTTATCTCACTTAATGCTTTTCAGTGTAAAATATTCTCATGTTTTTTCCTTCAAGAAACTCACTGTTCTCCTTCAGAATCCCTTGGAAATTAAGCAAAAAATAACTACTCAGCTCTACCATTGTATTTTCTTTGTCCTGCGCCTTCTGGGCTCTGTTGGGAAGGCTGCAACAAAAGGATTAAACTATATTTATTCTCCCAAATAGGTATGTAGAAGTCAAAATTGACCTTCTAGAGAGAAAGTATGGAAGCGGAGCATCCCCATTCCTTGGGTCAGGGTAGGGAGAGAAACTGGGGTGGTCTGCAGCCCTTGCAAACCTTTGGACAATGGCAGGTTGTCCCACCACACAGGGCAGGAACCTTTAGCTCTTCTAAAGAGAACATAGACTAAAGTGGCTCCTACTGTGAAGGAAAAGTGGAGAATAAATTGGCTATGAGGGAGCAGAGCTGAGCCCTCAGATACCATGAATTCCAACATGGAATTTCCAAATTTAAGTTAGATACTTTCCACTTGTGTATATTCATTTTCGATAGCCATTACCAACACAAGGAATGCAACAGCAGGTTGGGAAACATGTTGCCATCCAATAATTATCTCTATACAGGAAGAAGAATTATGCTATTTCACAATATTTTTGTGGACTTAATGGATAACATTATGCTAATGTCACTTTTTGCACTGTTTTATGAAACATCACTATATATTCTTATAAACTGGTAAATTGCTGGTAGTACTACATACAAAAAATTTTCAGGTTTTTGGCTTTGCCTGCATAGATGCAAAGCATGAACAGTTGTAGATATGAGGCAGTTATACAGGCAGAACAAAATGTTCAAGAATTGCACTTACAGTAGTCTAAGAAAAGACACTGTAGAGGGTAATTTCATCAAGTACTAAGATTATTTCATACTGCATTGCAGACAAGCTTTGCTAAAACCATTTCCCTGTGCAGGTAACAGTAATGCATGTAGAATTCTTTGCTAATGGTACAAACCCCACTTTTTTTTTACCAGCATTTTTGGGTGTATTCAACTCAGCGCAGGTGGGATCCAACAGTTCCAGAGTGAAAACACTGAACCTGGATTTGAACTCACTGCATTGATGATTACATTTTAATTTTTCACCTTAATGACTGAATATAAATTTGCTGGTTTGTACCTTCTTCTTCATCTAAAAACCAAGCTCTGCATGTATTTTAGACAAAGACTTTTTGCTTTGTCTGCTGAAATTTTCAAAGTTGAGCCTTTGTGGTTTTTTTTGTTGTTGTTTTTTTTTTTTTTTTTTAAATTATTTTTTTTTTTTTTAAATTATTCCTGAGATCATAACGTATTTGGGAGATTTCTTTCCCTAAAAAGAACCCAGTTTGCAGAAATCTAAACCTCACTCACCCTCTTTCTTCATAGCAGCTCCCACAACTGGCACTCTTAGAGATTGATTTTTTTTTTTTTTTTAGCTTGCTTTATACTCCCCTTGGCATTTTTCCGGCTCCCTCACATAAAGCTGAAGGCTTCTCTGTTTTATACTGTTGGGAGACTCCAGCAGTCACTGCTACTGCTGGAAATGCATGGTGTCCTAACCACTTCTCATTTTTCTTGGCTGTTTCTGAGCTGAGAGAATCAACATTGGGTGTTGCAGAAATAGTTCTTTGCCTGTAGCCTCTATCTTTGGCAATTTCGACCTGGTGGCAAAATGGGTTATTATAAGTTTTTCCCTTTACAGTGAGAAAGCTAACATACGCTGTTAAGCATACATAAGCTTTCTGAAGTGTTCAGCTGAAAACAGGAGGTTGTCATTTTGGGAGAGTGACTGGGTTTATTGTGGATATTAAGGTGAGGTTGGGACATGAATAGTGGTGAATACAGCAGGGACATGTGAGGATAATGTAACCTGGTGAGTTGCTGCTTAGGGAAATGGATGCTGGGAGAAGTAAAAGCCCAGATTTTTCTGCTGACACCTTAAGAGACTTACATGGCACTGAATTGTAGGGAACTAGAGAAGATGGTGCTCAGCTTTATATATCATCCTATTGCTGTGTAGTCTTCTGTCTTGCAGGTTGGTTTAACTGACTCACCAAGGATGAGATTCATTTTACTGTCTTGTCTTTGATTTCTCTACTACCTGCATACCTTACTCTCACCTCACCTCATTCCTCTTTCTCCATCTTTCTTTTTCTTGCCCTATCAATGCAGAGAAAATATTTATCTGGAATACCTCAAAGCCTGATAGAGGTATGTATTTAGGATGTAAGGAGACTGTCAGAAGAATATAATTATTGACATCCTCACAACCTAGGGGTGGGCTCCAGGGCTGTCTGCACAACAGCGCAAGAGGCAAAGAGACATGCTGGGGTCAAACACAGTTAAAGAGATGCCTTGCCTTTAGTAAAGCTAAGCATGCCAAGCAGAAACTGCTCTGCCTTCAGTGGTTCATCTCAATGACAGCGGCTGCAACGAGGAACAACTGCAGTGCCTGCCTGAGCGAAGAGGAGGCTGAACACACAAGAGCCTTTGGCTAGCAGAGATGAATAAAATAAAATGCTTTTTCCTCCTACTCATTTCTGTCTTCACTCACAACTGTTTTAGACAGGGTGTGTATATGTCCAGTTTTCTTTATCTCTTGAGTTTGAAAAGAAAAGCATGCATTCTTATTAAAGATGGATTATGTGAGGTGAAAACCTAAATCAACTATCCTGCTGGCATGCAAACTGTGCAGGGTCTTTCTGCACTCAGAAATGGAAGGTTTCAGCAACCTGGAATGGAAAAATAGATGTGAAGAAGTAAGCTAAGCTCATGATATATATTTAGGTCCAAGAACCACTCAGCCAGTGTTACTG